TAAGTGCTCGACCAAGTCACCTTGACGTATCTCGTGAAAATATGAAAATTGCATTTCTTGATACCGATCAATCATGGGGTTGTTGAATTGACCATCCCGAAGTAAGGGTTCGGGCTCTAGTGGTAGTCCATTTGGTCCAATCGGCCTTTCATATATTCTTGTCAACGATGTGTTCATTGGATCGGGTTCAAACACCTCTTGAGCATCATAGTCATACTCATCCTCCACAATCATGTTGTGAAGGATGATGCAAGTCATCATAATACTCCGCAGCACCTCCTCATCTAGCATCCGAGCAGCACCTCTAATAATTGCCCAACGAGCTTGCAAGATACCGAAACACCTCTCCACGTCTTTCCTGTAACCTTCTTGAAAGGAAGCAAAGTTTCTTTCCTTCTCGGATTGGGGATTCGGAACTGTTTTCACGAATGTCGTCCACCTAGGATAAATTCCGTCGGAAAGGTAGTACGCACCAGAGTAAACGGTATTGTTGATTTGGTACGTGACCTGGGGGGAATGACCTCGCAATACCTCATCGAACACTGGGGATTGACCAAGGACATTGAGGTCATTCTGAGAACCGGCAACCCCGAAGAAGGCATGCCAAACCCAACAATCGAATGAAGCTACGGCCTCCAAAATTATACTTTTTTGGCCCTTCCGATTCCCGTACTCCCCTTGCCAAGCAGTAGGACAGTTCTTCCACTGCCAGTGCATACAATCGATGCTTCCAATCATTCCTGGGAAACCTCGGGCCTCGCCTTTTTGTAGAAGCCGTTGCAGGTCTCTTGGCGTTGGTTTGCGAAGGTACTCCCTCGTGTACAAATTTTCCACTGCATCACAAAATCTCACCAAGCACTCTAGGACAGTAGATTTTCCCATCCTTGCAATCTCATCCACCTGCTCTGCAGATGCCCCATAAGCAAGCATCCGCAAAGCAGCTGTCAGTTTTTGCTCCGGGATAAGACCTAAAGCTCCAACAGCATCATGCTTTTGAATGAAGTATGTGTCGTAATTACAAATATCATGCATGATTTTTTGGAACAAATGTGGTTGCATTCTATATCTTTCTCGAAACTTAGAAGCAGGATATAACGGATTTGGGATAAAATAATCCTCCATGAGATTCTTACCCCGAGACTCCCTACGTCTGTCCACA